TTCGGCATTTTCTATTTGTACGAAATTAATATAAAATGTATTCATTAAATAAATATAAATTGTTTCCAATACCTCTATGAGAGAAATTAAATTGCCGAGAAGCGATTACACCGAAGAACTATCCAGTTTTAGCTTTCGAAGAATAGTTCAAGATACTGACCGCATTCTTTGTGTAGCTTTTGCTGCTACCATAACGTTTCAGTAAAGACTTCTTTAGTTGAACCGCCTGTAGGTAAAGTGACGAAACGATCACTTGTTATTTTTTTTAAAAAAAAAACTATTGAGGACAGAAAATAAATTTATATAAATATAAGTTTATATAACGAGAGTCTCGAATCATTACCCAGCAACGCGAGTCATATATAAGATACCCTTCTCAACAACTAGGGAAAATGGATCGGTCATGATATTTATTCTTGTGAGCCTGTTTGTGCATGACAGCTACAAGCTTCAGTGGCTTTTAAGCTATTTTTAAATATTGATCTGAGCCGGAAGCTTTTTGTTTGATTTTTTTTAGCAAACTTCCAACACTTCATTTGTTTATTTATTTATTTTCCGTGTCCCCCCTCTTGTTCAAATTGTTCATTTCTGTATGAAGTTGTTGCGCGAGAGTATGTAACATAGATCTCCTTTAAAGTGTATGACACATACGACAACATAGATACATGTAAAGTTCAAACAAGACACAAAAGTCTTCGTATAAAAATACTTATATATATATATATATATATATATATATATATATATATCAGAAAAAGAAGAAGAAGAAGAAGGGGGGAGAAGAAAAATTCCATGTTAAAATATGCTTACACACGCATCAACTCATTTTTGTACAAACGTAGGCTCACACGAGCTCCAAATTCATATTTCCACACTAGCATTTATTAATCAGTCAGCGACGTTATCTCAAACGCTATTCAAACTTTCAAAAAAGCAGACGACATCCCTGTTGTCTGCCATTAAAAACATACGAACCAGATATATAAAGATAAAGGTCAACTGACAGCTTTCTTGCCAACTGCAAGAAATTACACGCATACATAAAATAACGTAAATAGGAAAATATCATATAACGTATTCATATATATATATATATATATATATATATATACTTTCCCTCATACTAACACAATTCATTTCTTTCGTGTTGTAAAAAGAAAAACGAAACATTTTTCATTGAACTCTGTTTCCCAGGAACTTTGTAATACTCTTATACACAATAATATAATTATTGAAATATGTAAAGCTGTGTTTGAAGATTATTTATTTTCTTCGCTTTTCATACACATTTTCCTCTACATACCTTACAATATCAAAATAGTTGATCACTGAATTGCAATCATATTCTCCCCGATTCTCTCAAAGAGCCATTTTCTTTTAGGATACAGGCGATCATTGGTCTTCTCATCATCCTTCTCTTTTTATTTCTATGTGCAGTGACCCTGAAAGACGTGGGCGATAATGGATCTCCACAATTCCCTATCGTTTTTAGCCCTTAACAATGTTAGTTATTTTTCAGTCACTCCCATTTCATTTTCTGTCATCTAGATTGTTAGGTATATTACTCATTATATCGCTGTTACGATTAGGTTCAATACGCCCTGTGAGTATAAAATTTTCCAAGCACTGTTTCCTCTTTACGTTTCACAGAAATTTCAGTTGTCGCTTTCTGAAACTAAGTATAAATGCCATTTTCTCTCCATTTCCTTAAACACGTTCTCACTTCTTACATACTCCGTCTACAATATTCTCAACATCCTTCTGTATAACCAAATCTCTGCTGCCTTAAGTCTCATCTTCATCTGTGAGGAAATTATCCAGCATTTACTGGCATATAAGAATATTGATATTACATCACAGTTGAGTACTCCTGTTTTTGTCTCTAACGACTTTTTAGTTTCTTGATACTTTGTTTAGTTTTTGGAAGGCATCTTTTGCTATTCCAATGAAACTTCGGATTTCTGTGTCACATTTTGTATCATCCATTAAACACTTACCAGATATTTAAACTGCTGTATTTATGACCTCGAGTGCATGTTGTTTTTTTACTCTTGCTTACAATCATACAATTTGTCGTTTTACAATTAATCATTAACCATTTCTTCGTGCTTTCTTTATTTATAATATCGGCATTACGATGATAAGTATAGTAGAATGGCTTAACGGATCTTTTCTACTAATTCGTCCCAAAATAAAAAGAATTTATATTTACTAAAATTCACACCAAATTCTCCCAGAACGAAGACCTTCCGTTGCAATCCGGCTGGGTTGACCTTAGCGATCGCAGATTTGCAATTTGTGGGCGACTTGGGTGCGCTATTTCCTAAGTGTGGTGTCTACGTCGCGTTCAATTCTATAAACAAAGTAAAAACAGATTTTTTTTTTTTATAATTGTAAAAATTTCTTTGTAACTACCTCGAATAACATCTGCACTTACGAAATGTGAGTAACTCCCTGATTTTTGGAAATTTTAGAGTTGTTTCGTGGCAAGATAAACAAATTTTGTTTTAAAATTTATAATTCAAAGGAGTGCCAAAAATTTCATAAAAATACAATAGTCTTTGATTAAAAATTTATAATTACTTGGTGGTGAATTAATATTTGCGATAAGGATCTTTACATTATTTGGGGTAAATTAACAGGAAAGATGCGCCTTCTCCATAGTTTTGAAGGAATAATTATCATTTTCCCCGAATGATTGCCTAGTAAATCGCTCAGTTTGTTTTGTTATTTAAACCCGTCTAGGAGAATTTAAATTTCAAAACCGTGGAGAAAGTATCGATAAATTACTTTCTTCGGAATAAACATTGCACATGGGTGAGAAGAAGATATTATTACGTAAAAAAAAAAAAAGAAAAAAAAGAAGGCCTCAGCTAGAATTTGAACCTGGCTCGGCTAGTCTATTTTTCGAGTTGCTAATCGTTTGCTTACTCCTCAAAATCACGAGCGAACTGGTCTGTCAGGCGCTATTGCTAACTATTGCGCTATAGCGACGTTTTCTCCAACCGTGAAAACCCCTTTCGTTTCTTAATTATCATATTTAATCTGTCTTTCTTGTGCCCTCAGCAAACGCTATTTCGCAAATAATTAACCCTACCGCCTCCGTTCAGCACACCACCCTAATATTATATTATAATCACTCTCTAACACACCAAACTTTCACCCTACCGAATCGATAATATCCATCACAGTAAGATCATCCTGCCGACAAATCAATCAGCTTGTCAACAATTTCTATCTCTGGTTGTCTTTCCACTTGGCAATTTACTTTGAACAGACATACCATTATGAACACAGTGTGCCCGTGTCAAAAATGTCAGCCATTAGTCACGCTTGGTTCAGCGTTATTCTGGCTCCCGTTCCTCGTCATTTCCTGTTATTACGAACGGCGGGGCAACCCCAGACCCCAATCTCCAACTGATCACATACGCGTCCCTCTGACTCTCTTTTCCAAAATACATTCCTCGCTTTTGTTCTTAGCCCCACGCCGGGCCCTCACCTTTATCCAAAACCAATCAAATTCGGTCCTGTATTTCGACTGTTCCGATCTTTCTGGTTCCGACCAGATCGAAATTTATTAGAAACGCTGTACCAATTATCGTTATTGGTTGTTGGGAATTGGTGCGATGAGAGTCCGGGGCACTGGCACAGGGCCGGGGGTGTCGTGAGAGACGAGAGAGAGAGAGAGAAACTAAAAGACCGACGGCTGATTCTGATTTTTCATTTCGATGCGTGTCAAAGAGATGTACAGTTGGTAGACAATGGTTTTGATTAAATCTATGGTCAACACAAAACAATGTTTTCTAATCTATCTACAGATTTAGCAGACAACTCATAATGAGCAATCTACTCCCCACACACAGACACATATATATATGTGTGTGTGTGTGTGTGTTCGATTTACTATGTTCATATCCCCCCAATGATTTGATAATTAATAACAAAAGAAATGGTTAGCATTAAAAATATGTACAGTTTTTTCGTGCTTCACAAGATAGATAGATAGGAACAGAATCAGATAGATAGATAGATAGATAGATAGATAGATAGATAGATAGATAGATATAGATATGAACAGAAACAGATCGGTATGAACAGAATCAAATAAAACATTACGAACAAAATAGATAGATAGATAGATAGATAGAAGCAGTTATGATTTTACAGATTCGAAAATACCCTCTGTTGATGCAAAAATATCATTACAAAACTAATCTCTTCTTGTGTAATTTTGTTGAAAACATATTTCGCCATGATTTGCTGAAAAAAATCGACCAAAATTACTGAAATAAAATTCCTAAAATATAGATGAATAAAATAATCGTAAAAAAAATTGTAATTTACTGTTTCGTTCTAAAACTCGTCTTTTTGATTTTAGCGATAGATACTGCAAGCATTTTATTGAAAAGATGGTTTAATCACCACTTGTTATTCAGATGAATCACCCTTCAGTCTTTCCCAATCAAAAGTTCATTTTACAAATATATTGTTATTTCCCATAACTTTAATTTAGAAAATAAGATTAACACACAGTGGATTATTTTAAGTAATAACCACGATTTTTTTGTTTCGATCAATATGTTTCAGATGGTGCACTTTACAGCATTCCTCAGCTGAATTTTGCATTCAACTATCTTCAGTCCAGTATTTGCGTTCAAATATATCGCTCTAATTGAGAAATATTGGAATAGGAAGGTAACATTTGAACGAAAGACATCTTAATCTCTCTCTCTCTCTCTCTCTCTCTCTCTCACACACACACACACACACACACACACACACGCACAGGCTCTCATTTATTTTCTTTTTCTCAATTTGTATAACGATAAAGGAAAAATGTAACTCCGGAAAACATATATTCAGTGATCATTTCCGCAGGGCATGTGTCTGTGGTTGTGTTTACTAATGTATTAATTCGATGAGTGCAAAGTGTTTGAATTTGTGTACATGTGTGTAAATATAAAAATCAGACGAGTCATTTATTTTATCTATCAATTTAGGTATCTATCTCTCTTAATTTTCATATCTATCTATCTATCGTAAGCTTCACATCTATCGATCTATCTATATGTTCATATAAATATATCTATGTCTATGTGAGTATTTTTCATATCTATGCATCTCTATCTTACTCTGTACATCTCTATCTATCTTTCGATCTATCTTATGGTTTCATATCTATCTATATATATATGTTCATATGTTTGAAATCTATCTATTCAATCTATCGATCTGTCTATTCATATATATCTGAGTTTCTCTATATTTCTGAGATGAGGTATTATGTACAGTATTTACATGAGTCAGACTATTGTCCTCATCTTTGTCGCCATATTTGTCACAACGTTTCCGGCCTTCTTCAGGTGGTTGGAATTTCGAACTGAACCCTTTATTTCGATCACTGGGGTAGACTGTTCTAGTTCCACGTGCCATGTTTGATGGATGTCAGTTATCAGTTATCTCCTGCTAATTTTCCCTCTGAAAGTTCTCCACTGCCTTAACCAGGAACTGAACTCACATACTTTGGGTCTGTCACTGGATCTAACCAACGCCTTTATCCACTGTGCCATGTGTCCTTGAGGACATCTGGGTATGAACTTCATATATATCTATCTTAGCATATTCATATCTATTGATCTTTCTTAGTTTGTTCATATCTCTCTATGCATCCATCTATCTATATCTTGTCTGTACATATCTATCTATTTTGCTAGCCAAATAATCTCAATCTGTTCGTATCTTCTTATCTATGTTTGTGTATGTGTATATGTGCGGTTATATATAATATATATATATATATATACTCTCACACACACATAAACACACATATATATATATATATATATATATATATATATATATATATATATATATATATATTGATGCATGTTTCATTAAATAATATAGACAAGTTTTGTCTATTTATTTTATGCAAATTTCTTTCATATCTTCTGATAACATTATCATTGAAAGACAAAAGAAAATCATTATATTGATACATGTTTTTTAATCCTATCTAAGCTTTCGGCTTAGGCCATCATCAAAGATGACAATAACATTACAATATAGTAAACAATACAGGGACATGGCAATAATGATAAAAGCAAAAACTCCTCAAAAATACTTTCTAAACAATTAAAAATCTTTTTTGGAAAAAAAGAACTAAAAAAAATGAACACAAAAGGATCAGCTTTAAAAAAGGACTCGTAAAAACCGAATGAAAAAAGAATGTTAACAACAAGTACTTTTTCACACCCAACCCAGTTCTGTGTAATCAGAATCAACGTTTTAGTTTAAGCAAGCGAATGATCCAATTGGAGTAAAGTGCCATGCAGATTTAAATTTTTCCCACTTGTGACGAATGCAGCTATCGATTTTTTTGCATGCTAGAATGCTAGTTAACATTCGTGTCAATCAGCTGTTGGCTCTCATGCTGGCCAACAGAATCTTCCTGCCTATTCGTAGCAGCCAGCTATTGGCTCTCACTCTGGCCAGTACAAAATAGCCGCAAACTACATGAAAACTGCCGTAGAAGTATGAAAAAATCGATTATTTCCACTAGGGATGGGAGTTGGGAAATGCAAAGTCGGTATTGACCTTTCCCGCTAACTCGGAGCATGTGCATGTAAAGTTTGGTGCAAATCTGTCGAAAACTGCGGCCGTGCATTCGTTACACACACACACACACACACACACACACACACACACACACACACACACACACACACATACATCCTGCCTTCTATAGATAGAGATTTTATGTTTGCTCCTATTCTTTATTCTTCTCTTTATTCCGGCATTCTTCTAATCTTCTTTCATTTTTTTCAGGTTCTTCCATTTGTCTTCTGTTTCAGTCTTGCCTTTTACCTTTTGATTATTAATTTCCTTCTTCCATCGAAATTCACCGACGTCGCGCCTGGTCACTACCGAGATGATTAACCAATGGTAACACCAGGTGCTGTAATCTTAAATATGCGGATGGTGTAATGGATAACGGCTCGAAATTGTTAATCGAAGAGCCGATTTCCATGTCCAGTTGGGTCTGTGATATTCATTTAGGCGCAATTACCCTTGAAAAGGGCATGAATCCACTTCTTCTTCACCCAGCTACGGGTTTATTAGTAGGACATATACGAAAAAATCATTATTATCTACAAAAATTCTTAAAATCTAAAAATATTTTCTGGCTTTAAATAACCTGCAAAGGCTTGATAACCCATATTTATCTTGTATATTCTTCTCTTAAGCCCATCCACTTCCTTTTTGGTCATTTCCTTCCTCCTACTCCTAATTCTTTCTTTTGAACGTTTTCTCCGATTCATTTTTCTTCTTCCTTTTTAATCGGATTCATCTTCTCGTTCTTTTTCTTCTTCTTCTTCTTCTTCAGTCTTTTCGGATTCCTCACTCCTTCATTTTTCTTCTATTTTTCATTTTATTCTTCCTTAAAACTCATTTTCTTTTTCTTCTACTCCCTTTCCACTTCCATCTTTAACATCTTCTTACTCTTGTACAAATTCTTCATATTTCTAAAGAAGTTTGTATTGTCCAAAGATTTTCTCCAAATGCCGAGCGAAGAAAATAAAGAGGTGGAATACCGAAATTCGCTGTCAGTGGAATTGGTACCGTTGCAAAAATCTGCGAACATAAAACATAAAACAATGCAATAATGTTCAAGTGACATCCCTCTGCAAATATGACTTTGTTGAAAGCCTTCCATATTCGCCCTAACTTCGTTTTAGTAGGGTCTGGGGTCTGGAACTACTTGGTTTATTAATATTTATCAAGACCTCTACCCGACGGTTTATGTGCGAATTTGTAAATAACAATGAACAAGGCGAAGGTTTTTGTTGGGAATTTTTCTTAGGGGAGAAATATAAAATATAGGAGAGGTCCTCTAAGCAGATTTGAATATGCTTATATGATGCTGGATTGCCGTTTACTTGTATAGACACACACAAATCTCTCTCTCTCTCTCTCTCTCTCTCTCTCTCTCTCTCCAATGTGTATGTGAGTATACCGTTTTTGTATACGGGTACAATTCGAGGCAAATGAATCATACTTCTACATTGGAAGGTTTCTTTTGTACGCATAACGTCAGCATAAAATTTAGCTAAGGCTAGATACATTTTCTTTATTTTACTAAAGAACCCGTGATACAAAAAATACTGGTAATATGTCTAAAAATATGAGTAAAACTTCAAAAAAAAAACTATATCACTGCTCCAAGCGAAGACTATAGTCCTTATCAACCTATATATGCAAGTTATGATGGATAAATTGTCTAAATTACGCAAAAATGAAAATAATGTTGACATCTCATTTTAACAGATATATTTACCAAAATTACAGAAAAAATATCTTAAAATACTAAAGAGTAAATTTATTCAATAAAATTACCATTGTCTTCAACTACAGCCTGCAAACGACTTTGGAATCTTCTGCGACTCTTCTGGACGATCTCCTTGTTTAAGAAGGTGAATGCTGCCATAATCTTTGCACTTCAGTTCATCTTTGGTTTTACAATTAGCTTTTTTTTTGGTCTCTTGCGCCGCACACATAATAATCAAGTTGGATTGTGTGTCATGGTGCAGAGTCATTTTGCCAGACACAGGGTCTTCCAACAGCCACCCTCTTTACCCAGGGCAGAACTACCTCCTCAAGGCACTTGATGTAGGCTTCCTTGTAGAATCTGAAGCACTGTGGGAAGATGAATAGAGGCATAATATCCCCATCACAAGCAATCACTCCAAACATCTTCGTAATCACCATTAAACTCATCCAACTCTTTCCGAATGCCCTGCACTGTCCTCAGATTGACACCAAACACTCTGAAATGTTCGTATTGGAGCTTCCGGTGCGAATAGCAAGCAGTATAGCATGCCGTTTCCAAATTTCTGGCTGAGTGAATTGCGTCATGGTGCTCTTTTTTCTCACAGACGATGCCCAACTGACCATACTATACTGCGCAGCCGACGAAATCAAAATCAAACAAAGTGGGTGCGGGAAATTAGAAATATAAAATTTACCCATCGCACTCTCTCTCTATATATATATATATATAATGGACTCTCCCGTTGGTGTAGACGTATGAGGATCTAACACCTTAATTGATTTAGTTATGAAATTTTGTACGATAATCTTAAGTGGCACTTAAGACCCGCTAGTGATTTACAAAGGTGGCCACATATGGAGCAAGAGGGGGTATTCTGAGATGAGATCACTGTTAGATTGGTTGGCCTTTTAGATCTTTATATATATATAGATACCGTATCATCAGGAATATTTACTGACGTTTTTCGCTGCTCTCTTTCGTCTCTTAATTGATCAATACGACTGATTGCGAAATTTCTGATGCCACTTTGTCACAAGTATCCTCAATTATTTAGAACCAGGACAATTCGCTCGAAGTTAGTATGAGGCACATTGACAGCTGAAAAATTACTCTTAGGCTTGTTTTTATACCTGAGCTACGGCCGTCGAACGTTCCGTTGTCTACTCCTAAGCTTGCTATACACGAGGAAAGTTGCAGAAAACCAACACAGAGGATTATATTAGTAGTGAAGGCGGGTGCAGAACCATCCACACATTTTGGAACTACTAATAACACGGAATCGGTGCATAAGTTTGCCACAGGAACGGGGAACAGACCTCATGTTTTATTATATAATTAATGTTTATATATATATATATATATATATATATATATATATAAATAAAAAACAAAAACTGTTGGTGAAACCAACGGCCAACTTGCCAAAACCTAAAACTCTTATCCAGATACAGTATTGAATAAAAACGAAAAAAAAAGCCAAAAAAAAGAAAGAGAAAAATGGCCTAAAAACAAACTTACCTACTCATTAAAATAAACTGCTCGAAGCCTAGATTGCCTAGAACGCGCAAAAACGCTTAACAATGCTAAACGCAATAACCAGGTCACATGATTGAATTTGGCATGAAAAAGTCTGTCGCCTCTGAGTGCTGAGTTCAATGTTCGCTTTTATATTTTCATACACTCTATCTCTGATAATGAGCACTTTATCCCATAAATATAGCATACCTGAGTAAACTGTATTTCTTCATATATATATATGTGTGTGTGTGTGTGTGTGTGTCTGTATATGTTTCTTTTTTAAAACACACACACATTATATATATATATATATATATATATATATATATATATACGAGTATCCACTAAAAATAACGTTTAAGTGACAAAATCTTTCGGATTAATAAATAAAAAAAATACATTACTTCTTTAGAAATTTCTTTGTTCACGCTTGGATACGAAGCTGATTTTATTCTGCCACCCGAATTAAAAAATATCATAATTCTTTAGAGAGAAGGTACTTTGGAAGCCTGCTAATAACAACATTACAAACTATAAACACACGTTAAAACCATTATATTATATCACCAACCATTACTGAATCCATTCTTAAATAATCTAACGTAAATTTACCTAAAACAAACAGTATGTACGTAAAACCGTTCCCAAATCAAAATGCGACCAACCAACAAATCCTAATGTATACTAGATAAATACAAACACACAATTACGAGTATATATTATCATCTGATTCAAACATAGAAAAGCTAGAAATTTAATACAGTTACATACATATTTTTGCATTTACAGTTCGGCTTGGAATCCGTTATTTTCTTGAAAATTCGGATGCTGCATCGTCTCTGCCACTAAATTTGGAACGCCACAAATTATACTAAAGTTGGTTTAAAAAGTTGAATGCACGTGAAACATGAATGACCAATGAAAATTAATCACTACAAAAGTATAAATATCAAAATTTATTTATCTTTTTCTCCCTGTCGCATTCTCTGATGAAGCTTTAATAAAAGTGAAACAGATTAATAAAGGTTGCCTATTTGTTCTTAATCTTATACGAAACTAAGCAGATATTAAATGTCAAGACTCTATGACAAGATTTCGCTGAAAGGCACTGTTTATCCTTTCTTCACCAGCAAATGTTCTTTGTAGCTCAGTCGGTTTACGCACGTCGGATCAAACAACGGTTTGTCTTACCAGCGTGGACGCGGGTTCGAATCCTTCCGTGGTGGTGGGGGGATGCATATTTTTCTTTAATAAGATTTCTCGAATATGCAGGACGCTAGACGAAAATAAATTATAAGTTTAATAAAGATGGCGTCTACTCAAATACGAACATTCATTAAAAATAACGTATAAGTGATAAAATCTGCCGGCTTAATAAATAAAAATATCGTTACTTCTTTAGAAATTTACATATGTATATGATATCATATATACGTGAAGGTGATATTAACGTGGTATATATATATATATATATATATATATATATATATATATATATATATATATATATATATATATCACACATTGTGTGCTGGTGTTAATAAAATATATCTATGTAGAATAAGACACGTACAAAATTTCATAAGTTTCATGCACAACGCAATCATCAGATGCAGTTCTTAGTCAGCACCTGGATATTGGTTTGTGCCTAAAACTCAGAGATGAGAAAAATTATATATATATATATATATATATATATATATATATATATATATTCCTAGGAGGGTATCCAGATTGCGTTCAAGCATGAAACTGACTGAGACCGCTTCGTATTGACTTCAGTGTCAAATTGTATATTCACATACGCTCTCTTCCTGATGCTGAGCATATTCACCTACAAATATAGCACAATTTAAAATTATATTTATATATATATATATATATATATATATATATATATATATATATATATATATATAAATATGGAAAGAGAGAGGGGGAGACACAGTGAGACACTAAAATGTCCGTTCTTCTATGCCGTGACGATGGCCTAAGGGTAGGATATCTGACTATGTCAAATCTGACGGGTTTCGATCTCTCACGCTGATGAGCTGCGAAACAGACTGTCTGTGGATGACTGTATATATATATATATATATATATATATATATATATATATATATATATATATATATATAATTTAAATAAAAACAGACCACTTTAAGGTTCCATGTAATAAATTATTTCACCACAACCCTTTTAAATGACTGCAGATCATCAGACTTTCAACCTTTGGAAGTAAAGTCTGATGATCCGCAGTCCTTTTAAAAGGGCTGTGGGAAAATAATTTATTACATGGAACCTTAAAGTGGTCTGTTTTTATTTAAATTATTTGCTCTGGATTTACATTGAGCTCTCTGTATTTTATCCTCCTTGGGTTTACCCATACGGATTACCTAGTTTTTCATAAACTAACTACATATATATATATATATATATATATATATATAGAGAGAGAGAGAGAGAGAGAGAGAGAGAAATAAGGGAAGATACCTATTGATATATACATCTACAGATATACAATTGTGTATGCACTGAAATAATGTTTATTTCCGTTTGTAGATAGTGTACTTATAAGCATAACTTTTTATTTCCTACATTTTAGCTAACTTTTTTACCAACCAACTATTAACTGCATCAGTACAAGGGACACTATAAAAGAACATTGTCATTCAGACGGAAAATAAATATGGAGAGTAAGGATCGAAAAGCCATTCCTAATTTTACTTACTTTATTATCATTTTTATTTGCCAATATTGTCAGGTCAGCACAGATATTGTGATTTACCTGCGTCGTCCCATCTCTTGATTAAAATGGATAACACGTAAACGACACATTTTTGACATATTTAATATCCATCACTACAAACATTGGCGCGTTTGTACTCTTGAACTTTACCCTTTCGCAGCCATTCTTACCACGCCTTCCCCGCCTAACATATATGCACCCGGCCATTCGGCTGAAACTATCGGAAATATCCTTATTTACCAACCCCCACCAGTTTCCCGCTTTTTGCTAAAATCTGTTCAAATACTCGGCGTGTAAAAGTGTCAGAATGGCTCCGATTTAGCAGAAGCAACACAATGGTTTTTGATTAAAGCATAAAAGTCTGTTCCTTTCTAGGCATATTTGAAGAGCAGGTCTTAAACAAACAGT